TGATCCATAAGTGGAAGCAAAACTGATCTTAGAGACACTAGTTTTTCTTCTTCGCTTTTCTCTTGTTGGTCAGTCTTAATGGATAAATATTGTTAAATTATAAGTAAAAATAGGACCTTAGCCAATTTTATTAAAACCTTATAAGCTTTTCCATTAAAGGCTTACTAAGATGAAACCTTACATTTGTCAAATCATATTGATCCAATAAAATGTATAAAACTCAGACATAAATTATCATAATTAATTATTTAGGTAATCATATTTGTCTTGTATTAGAACTAAATTTATGAACATGTTTTATTCAACATTAAAATCACCAATTAATAGTAGCCCACTTATTGAAAATTCGAATATTTTTCCACTTGGATAATATTAATTGTATTGTTTGATTGTAAGAAAACATAATTTAGAAAACAAGACATCAGGCTGATTAACTTTACTTTAATGTAGTCACAGTTTCCAAAAAAAAAAAAAATTATCTTTTAAGGCAATATCTTAACAGTCATGTCCAATAAAACCATCCAATATCGAATATTGGTAGCATTTATGCTCTTTATCGACACAAGATCAATCCATGGTTACAAGTACTAGAGATTGTACAGAAAATGAATTTCAGTGTGGCTATCTAGCAAGAAAATAACACTTAAATGTAATCTTAATGTGCTATTTTCATTGTTAATCCTCTTTTTGATTTTTTAAAAACTTGTTAAGAAATCTCCATGGTATATAGATGTGCTTGTATGTCTTCACTTTATCCTCAAGGTTACTTGATGGCATGACTTATGAAACATATACTTAAGACAGATACCAAGTCTGATGTGTCAATTTGAGATGTGCACATGCAATAATAAACACATTATAAATAACAACTATGATGTATATAAAACAATTATGTCCACTTAATTTTATGGTACCTCATGGACCTATTCATCTCAAACCATATCATATAGGTAATTAATAATTACATGTGATGTATTTAACAAAGTCAAGGAACCCAAAACAATAATGGTTTCAAAATTAAATTTACAATGCGTTATTGCCATAATCAACCCAAAACCATAATAGGTTCTATTTTCCATACTTATAGATATCCATATTACGAGCTTGGTAATACTATATTCTTCACATAGAGAAAATATGTCATTATATGATCAAATCACAATGAGTCACATTGATCGAGTGAATCATGAAAATGCTCTAATCAAATTTTAAACAATAATTAAAGAGCATAACAACGAATAGAGTCATAACAAAATAATGTATTTATGCCATTGTGCTAAATGTGATAACTACTAGTGTTCTTAAACTTCTATGATATTACTTTAATAAATCACTTACAAATTTACTAGCATACTATGAACAAATTTTCATACTCATATGTTCATAAAACTAAAAATTCTTAATATCTCTACATGAGATCATTTTAACAAATTTGAAATTAATTGAATTGCCAATATTTTATATCTAAAATATGCCTAAACCAATAGCCTATGAATTCTCGCTAACCTTAATATATATGATATCTCCAAATTAATAACTTTAGGGTATTTATGAGTTTTTACTATTTAAAAAACCATATGCAGAAAAACTCTCACTGATTTTCACTTCATTTAAAAGAATAGTTTTGGCATTAACAAAATAATAACAAAAATATCAAAACCTTTATATTATCATTCTTTGAATTAATTGCAAAAATTAATTCATATGTAATTCAAAACATAAGAAAGTGAAATGAGAAAAAATTATAAAATTTTTGTTCTCTCTCAAAAGTAAACCAACAAAATTTAGGGAAGATTATCAAATAATGAATTGAACTAATAAAAAGGCAAAACTAATAGTTTATATATTTGCATAAAATTCATTCCTTAAAACTCTCACATATGTGATAGTATAAAACAATATTCTCCCACTCATGTGTGAGCTACTTAAAAGAAAACATAAAATTTTTTTAAAACACATTGTCAATAAATGATAACAATATACCTTTTAAAATCAATAACTACTGTGTTTTATAATATTAGTTAAGATGATCAAATCAATATCTTAATTTAGAGTTAAACAAACAAAATAAATATTTGTCAAAATGAAATTATATTTCAAAATTTTCAAATTTAGTTAAAATGAATTAAGATATCATAACAAATCTAAAACTTTCTTAATAAACTTATGATGACAATTATTCAAACAAACAAAAATTAAGAACAAAGACCCATCAGAATCCAAAAAGATAAGACTTTAATTAGTTCAACATATTTACTAGTCTTACCAATAATAATCAAAGTATGCTATAACAATTTTAATCTTAAACATTCTTTAAAAAAAATCATAAGTTTGTGTGGTTATACCTCAAAAGAAAAATATCAAGACTTTCAAAAATATATCTCCTTTGAGTAAATAAGTTCCCTCAGTCATGTATCTTTTCACTTCATAAAATTGGTTCACACTCATCTTTAAATTAAAAACAAATAATCAGTCCCTTTAGGTAGATAATCACATGTAGTAACTTAGAGACAATCCATAAAAACATAAGAAATTTCATTATTATTATTATGGTTCTACTCATTTTTTTATATCTATTTATATATGTGATAACGGCAAGTGAGATACTAATATAAATGTACCTCTATGGATTACTAAAAGTTAAAATTTTGAATGTCCATTACCATTTTATGCACCTTAAAAATATTCAAGTCATATTTCATAATCATGCTATCAATTAATGTTAGCACTTACCATGCCATATTACCAAATAAATTTTCTTAATAATTAATAATATTTCATTTTGACAATCTCTCAAGCATGACTATAAAAAATTTCAAAATTAAAATGATTGGCCACAAAACATCTACCAATGTGGATATTTCATACTTGCATAAGATTTAACAAATTTCATAATATTTATACCAAAAGTTCAACATACAACTTATGATGAATGTCAATAACACATTTTTCTAGATAATCATATAAACATAATGACTATAGTATAAACCAATCTCATGTATATGATAATGTTCATGTGAGGAATATAATATTTTTAATATCACCAAATATAAGTGGAAGCAAAACTGGTCTTGAAGAGACTTGGTTTTTTTCTTCGTTCTTCTCTTATTGGTGACTCTTAATGGATAGATGTCGTTAAATTAGAAGTGAAAAGAGGACCTTAACCAATTTTATTAAAACCCTAGAAACCTCCCCCATCAAAGGCTTATTAGGCTAAAAGTCTAAACAACTGGTAAATCACATTGACCTAATAAGATGCACAAAACTTACATAAAAGTGATCACAATTAATTATTTAGGTTCTCATGCATGTCTTGTATTAGAACTAAATTTATTAATCTATTTTATTAAACATTAAAATCACCGATTAATAGTAGTATAGTTATTGAAAAATTCTAACAACCATAATCAAGATCTGATAAATCTAACTACTAAGAAAATATATTTACAAAAATATAATACTAAACAAAATAAATAAAAGAACATGTTAATAATAATAATAATAATAATCATCATCATCATCATCTTAGACCACACTTTAAAGCTTATTATATAGAATGTAGAAAATAGTTGTAAAATATAAAAAAATGATAGATTATTTGAACAATGTATTAAAGAAAAGAAAAAAAAAGTAGAAGAAAATGCAAAAACAATTTTTTACAACAATCGATGAATGTGTTAACTACATCATATCATCATTATATTTATAGGCATCACATATAAACTCATAAATGTAAATCTCAAAGTTTGAGAAAAAAATTAATTTTCATAATTAAAAGTTTCATCTCCTTTAATTACATATTATTATGAAATTAAACTTTAAGTATATAATTTGATCTTTCAATCAATTCTTTTCATTTTTACAATCAAATGCCAAAAAGTAAGGTAATATAAGTATGGGTAATTAGAGAGATTTTTATAAATTGAGAGACTAAATTATGCCTTTATAATTAAGGTAACGCCTAAAATTATAGTTAACATATAAATTGAAAGTACTTTTTACAAAATAATTATAATGGATCATTAATTATTTATGTAATATGTTGCTTATTTTGAAAAGTCGGTGTTTAGCATAATGAAAAGTTCTCATAAGGAATAAATTATGCAAATTTTAATTAATACTTATATAAAAAAATAAAAAATATGTTTGCAATTAATTAGGTTTTTTATTTTAGCTTTTAGTTTTTAGCATATATATTCATTTAGGTTAATAAATACATTAACTTTTTCTTAATTAAATGTTAAAATTATGATAATTAAATAATCAACGTTTTTCAAAATATATTTTTTATTTATGATGTTTATCCAAATAAATATCTTTTAAATTAATACAATTTAAATGAGATCAAATCAAAATATTTAAATGCAAGATATGTGATAATTATTTAAGATAATTCACATGTAAATAAATAAATCATTCATATTGAATTTTTCTTTTTTTTGCTAAAAAGTTGGCCTTTATATATTTATATAAGATATATGTATTACTAAAGAGGTAAATTTAATAATTTATGTATTCATGTCTTATTTATTTTGTGTCAAATATGTTTGAATATAAAAATTATTATTTAATAATTTGTGTTGATATGGCAAATAAGAAATATATTTTTTGTTTTTATCAATCTTATATTCAATTTTTATAAAATTTTAAACCGTATCACTTTTATTTTTTTATATCGTTTTCGTATTATATCATTGTGTTTTGTTTAAAATTATTAGGTCTTAAAAGATGTTGTAATAGGAGAATAGATAAAAGAAGGGAAATCGATAATTCATTTTAAGACTTTGTTAGTGAATATTTTAAATATATATTTTTAATGCTAATTAATTAGTTAATTATAATAATATTTTTTTGTTGATTATAATATTTGATAATGCTCTAAACTGAAATATATATTTCAAATATTTCAGTTCTATTTTATAATTCTCCATTATTCTTTTTTATATGCTAAGATCATAATATAAGAAATGCAATCAAATAAAAATAAAAAATTTCTTTTTTCTTAAGTGAAGTAAAAAGAATGACGTCGTTTTGGAAACTTTGTTTAACTCTTTTCGTCTCTCCAAACTTTGTTGGGGAAAGAACCGAAGAAGAAAGCTAAAAAGGAGAAGATTTCAGCGGTCGTCTTTTTCTCTTACATTTTCTTTTGAGATCTGAATCTGAAAAAAAACAACAAAATGCAAGATCCGCCAAGTCTGAAACCGATCACGGATCCACAAATTCCTTCCAATGCATCACCCACCACCCAAACGACGCCGTCTTTCCCAAACCAAACCCCATTTCGAGGCTCTTACCACAGGAGAGCCCACTCCGAAGTCCAATTTCGGCTCCCGGACGATTTGGATCTGGCGTCCGACCCGTTAGAAGGGCTGGGATCCGAAGACGACTTGTTTTGCAGTTACATGGATATTGAGAACCTGGGGGGATCATCGAAGGGGGCGGACGAAGGAGGGGGTGCGGCCGGCTCTTCAAGTGGTGGGTCGGGTCAGAACCCGAAAGGAGGGGAAATGAGCGGCGATTCGGGGATGGGCGAGAAGAATAATGGAGGAGGGAAAGGAAGGCATAGGTATAGTAATTCAGTTGATGGGTGCTCGTTAATGGAGTCTATTGAAGCTAAGAAAGCTATGGCTCCTAATAAGCTTGCTGAATTGTGGACTATTGACCCAAAGAGGGCTAAAAGGTTTGGGAACTACTTCTTGTTTTTCGTCCCCCACTTTCTGGGGTTCTCTTTTTTTAAGAGAATTTGGTTTTTGGGTATTTATGAAATTTTTGAAGAAGTTGGAAGCTTGTAGTAAATTTAGTGTAAAGTTTGTGCTTTTGTTTCTTTTTGGTAGATTATTAGGGGAAGTTATTAGAAGATAGTAATATCTTTTGTTTAAAAAAATTGTATTTTTAGTTTATAAAGTTTGTGTTTTTTTTTTTTTTTTGTTTCTTTTGGTTGTTTATATCTTTTTTTTTTTTTTTTATGGGCATTATGATTGTATTGTTGAAATGTTCTTTCTTTTAATTTTGATGGTGAAGTTGACTTTTTTTTTTCTTTTTTGGATGCTTATGAATGGGGGCTTTGGGCAATTTAAGAAGTTAAGTGAGGAACTCGAAGTTGGAACTTGGAAATATTTTCTTTTTTGGGAAGGTAGAATTTGAAAAATTGAAAGTTAGTAAAATTTATGAAAAGTATGCATTTTATGTAACTAATGTCAATTATAAGGGCTTTTTCAAATTCTTGGTGCTTTTTTATGGAACAGGTACATGTATGCTTCCTAGCTCATTCTCTTGGTTTAATGGGCATTGTGGTAGTTTTGTTGACAATCTTTGTTTTTTAACAAATGTAGTGCTTCAGTTGACTTTTAGCACCCTTTGATGAATGGAGTTTCCAATTATTTTAGGATGTTCAATTTCAGAGTTCTTAAAAGTATGCAATTTTATGAATAAAATTCATTAAATTATAAAGTGTCTTCTATTTACCTTTTTTTTTTTTATGCATTACTTTTTTTTTTGGCTTCGGTTTTCATTTTCTTTATGAGCAAAGTGCATTATAATTTTTTTTTCTGAATTTTGGTGACTTGTTTTAATATGATTAGGAGATGGCATAAATGTTTCCTGAAATATTGAAGTAACCATAAGCACCTAATGGCATAATTGAATTAGTAAGTCAGATCAGAATTTGCATGGTATATTATCTATCTCAAATTGCTGAGCATATTTTTTTCATTGTCTAGGGGAATTTGAGCATATGTATGGGCTGTTTCACCATCTAATGTTGTAATGATACCATGAGTAGGACATTTTGTTTGGGTATCAGTGAACATTTGCTTCCTAAATTCTAACAAAATTAGCTTTGGTTAATCTGATAGGCTTCTTGTTCTTTGTAAACTAATTGATCTTGTCACTCTTTCTCCTAAATGATTGTTTAACTTTTTCTAATAGTTTTATCTTATTCTTTTTAAAATTTGAAAATCAGTTTATGATAATTTTTTGGTCATGGCACACCCACCTTTTTAAAAGTGTTGGTTTTTAAGCCCAATTTTGTCACCATATTTCATGCAGTACTAGGATGCCGATATTATTAGCATAACTGAAAATACTGACGTGTGGAATATCACTTAAACCATCAACAAAATGACTTACGGGCAGTTATGGATTTCTTTGAAATCATAATTGGAATATTTCTCCATTTTGCACGTTTGAATGCTGTTAGTTTCATTTAAGTTTGATTTTTGGGAAAATGAGCTGTTCGTTTCAAACTTTGGAACTTGCAATAATGGGTTTGTTAAGGTCATGCGTGCATGGATTTTCTTCATTTGGAATGTTATAACCTTTTCTTGTTCATATTTTCCGGTGTTTGAGTGCCTTTGGACCTCTTTTTATTTATATATTACTGATAAGGTGTATCTTGCCTTAAATGCATCCAAATTTGGTGAGGTGGCTAAGCTACAACAGTTCCCATCTCTCCACTCAACACCCCTCAACCCTAAGTTGAAATGGAAGTTTTCACCCATAGATTTGAGACTCTCCTATCATGTGGTGATTTGAGTTTACATCCAAATTTGCACTAAGAAAGTACATAATTTGTGTAGGATCATTGCAAATCGGCAGTCAGCTGCTCGTTCCAAAGAGAGGAAAGCCCGATATATATCTGAACTGGAGAGAAAAGTCCAAACACTTCAAACGGAAGCAACTACACTTTCTGCACAACTAACCCTATTCCAGGTTTTTGGTGAAACACTTAACTATCTCATTGCATAATTTTGGAGCTTGTTGTGTTGACTATTAGCTCTCGTTATGAGAATATAAGATCTCCCTACTAAACAATCACTATTCGGCGATTCTACTTTCTAATGAATCAAAAGCTTTTTGCAATTGGGGCTTTAGCTCTTCTTGGTTCATTTTTTTATTGTGGATGTGGTTGCACATGCTTCTAACTCTCTGTTAAAGGCATCTGATTTCTGAAATTGCCATTAGTTTTGGATATGTTCCATCTTATCTTGCTTTTATCTTTATTGACTAATTCCTGAATGTTAATAGTCTTAATTCTTGTGTTCTATTCTAGAGAGATACAACAGGCTTGACTACTGAGAACACTGAGCTTAAGCTTCGGCTACAATCTATGGAACAACAGGCTCAGCTACGTGATGGTATGTTCTGTCTAGACTATTTTAGTTGCCAAATTCTCTCCAAGATGGCATGCTTTCAAAAGCGGATACTTAGCATGTCCAAAGACATGTTCATTTGCTACACAGGTTGAGCAGTTTTTTTGCCATATCTACTCAATGATAAGAAACAAAGCAAACTAGCATCGAACTAGTCAAACCAGGATGCCCATTTTAGCTAGTATTCTAGGCATTAATTTTGGAACTCAAGTTTCGGGTAGCATAATGATTGTCCATTTGCATGGAGATATCTAGTCTTGTATGTATCATGTCCCTGGTATTTCACTCATAAAAACTACTGCAGAGTGTTTTTAACTGGATAAATATTTTCTCTTTGTCCATTTCTGACTACAGCTCTAAACGAAGCACTGAAGAAGGAAGTAGAGAGGCTGAAGATTGTTACTGGAGAAATAATGACACCCACAGATACCTTTAATTTGGGAATGCACCATGTACAATACACCAAATCTTCCTTATTTCCTCCCCAGCCACTGCATATGCAAGTTGACACCCAGAATATACGCATGCCACCATTTCATCCCTTCCAATCTAACATGTTGACACCTAATCAGTCTGTGGTAGCTGCCTCCAACTCACATGCCTTGGCCGAAATCATGCAACAGGATCCTCTTGGCCGATTGCAGGGGCTTGATATCAGTAGCAGGGGTTCCCATTTAGTGAAATCTGAAGGCCCCTCAGTTTCTGCCGGTGAAAGCAGTGGAACATTATGATACAAATTTTGCTTGGGTTGTTCATAGACTTGTCTTATTGACATCGAAAGGTACTATTCGTTTGAATTCAAATCTTTTAATGCTATTGGGATTTTAGTTTTTCTGTAGCTTTGCTAGGTCTTCAGATTTATTTTTTCTTTTGGAATTCAAGTTCAGTTTTCTGGAGCAATGAAATGGAAATCGAATTTTGATCCCTAGGAGTAGATTAATGCAACATCTCAAACCAGCTGCTCCCTTTGTATTGCCTGTTAAGTATTGTTTAAAGTAGTATTGCTGGTGAATTTCTTCAACTTGTTTGAAGTTTCAGTTGATGACTGCTCTCCCTCTCAAATGGGTGTGTGCAAACTGTAAATGTATCTGCCTATTTGATTGTAGTGCCTTGAGTTTACTAGTTTTTGGTTTCCTGTCTCAGTTGAACCTTTTGAGGATAATAGACAATAGAGGCCTCTGGTGGTGTTGCTTTTCACTTAATCATGTGATATAATTATTTAATGACTTGCATCAGTTTGGTGATCTATATTCTGTACTATGTTTAGAAAGATCTTGGTTTACAACTTTTGTCATTCCTTTGTTAGGATGCTCAAGGTTAAATAAAATGTTGACTCTTTTTTTGTTTTGATATGTATGGGAAGTACAAGAGGCCTCGGAGATTCAAATCTTGGATCTCAATTCTCTAAGGAGGGTAACAAAAATCTATGACCATTTGCAAGTCTAGAGGTAGATTTTTATACCGAAAAAGAGAAATATACAATTCTCTATGCCAAGAGTCTTGGACAAGATCTTATTCTGTCAACTCATGAAGTAAATTGAAAAGCTCAAGCCCATACAATAACACATCAGACAATTAGTTCTGAAGTGTTCTGAATAACCTAATGAAGTATGTTAACATGTAATTATTGTAAATCTTTTTCTCAAGTGATTACAAAGTTCAATCTCAGCAGGGCAACTCATATAGGAAAGAAATTCAATCTAGGTTTCTACCTACTTGCCATACATTGGAACAATTTGTTACAGTTTTCCCTCTTAAGTTTATTTTTGTCATTAAAACAATTTGGTTATACTTCTAGCAAACCGTTTAACTATGTGTACAAGTTTAAACTTTAAAATTCTTTTTAATTATTTATTTGTTTATTTTACAAAAGAGGTCTGGGAATAGGTTACAAGTATTGGATTTGACCTCCAAATGTGTTGGATGTCACCTTTTAAGGGTAGTAGTATTAACCGAGTTAAATCCCGAGTTTAACTTTAAACTCTTTATATATGATGCATTCGAACAATTATTTTCTTTTGACTTGTTAATCATAATAATTGTGAATTAAACAACTTGGTTGTACTCTCTCTAGACAGCGGCTTAATTAGGACTCTTTATTATATCTTGCAAGAAACCACTAGTGGACTAAGCTTGTGAAAACTAGTCAAATATGTGAAGGATATTTTCAATCAGTTTTACAAAAGCAATTCTTTCTTACTTCTTGTTTGTGTGTATATGTGTGAAAATGTATGGAAACAGGCAAGGTCTGGATCTGAAGTAAGCTGGAGTGGTATGTCTGCAGTGGAGGGTAGCCGCTGAGGAGATCAGAATGCCAGAATGAGGCTTCTGTCTTAAGACTAATTTGGTGTGTGTCAGTCTGCTCAACCTGTCCCTTTATAGATTGCTTGGGTTAGACATGTTTGTTTGAGAAATAGATTAAATGGTCTATTGAAGTGCCTTGTGAGGAGGAAGATTCTTAAATTGTTGGTAGGCATCCTCTTAAAAACACAGCATCGTTGATGGCTTCCACTTTTCTATGACATTGCAAGCGACACGAGTTGAGTCATTTGTTTCTCAAATTTGGGCCTAAAATTGCTCATGATGCTGGGATTAGTTCGTATAGAAGGGCTGCCAAGTCTGATTAGTTGGCTCTTTTTACTGCCCTTGCCATGACAAAACCCCTGCTGTTGGAGAAAACTTTTTTTTTTTTTTTTTAAACAAAGGAGACCGTAGCATAAGGATAGGGGAAGGGATTAAGATTGCTAGGATTTGAACTCCAAGCTTGCTGGATGTCATCTCTTAAGAATAATTATATAAACCTAGTTAAACTCCGGTTCTTAACTTCCCACTATGTTTTGGAAATTCTGTTGCTCTCTGAGGGGAAACTGCCTAAGGTAAAGTGGTTTACACTAATCTAGTTTGTTATAACTTATTCCTTCGCTACCGGGAAACATTAGCATTTCTTCGGTGTGTTGTTCATCAAAGATAGACTTATCACTGAAGATAGGAGATTGAAATGCCTAATTTGCTATGTTGGTTTAAACAGAACACTAATTGTTTGAAGGGATTCAATCTGTTATTAGCCTTAGAAATCAGAATTGACTTGTCTAGAGAATGTTGCAAGCTGTTGTATTAAATATCACCTTGGATGTAGTTGGAGAATTGCTAGCACCGTCTTAATCTGTGCTTGCTGTTGGTTGATGCAGTTTTCTGCTTGTTGGGACAAGCTTGCAGGCTGTGTTGTCAGACTTACGTTCTGGTAAACAGCTTAATCATCCGGAAAGTAAATAGTAACAGTAGTTACTCAAATTTTGGACTGTCTCTTTCCATTGCATTGCCTTTTATTCTCTGTAAGGAGTCATAATCATATTCTACGGCACCAAAGCAATGTTAAGTATAAGGAACACTTCCTGTATACCTTAATGATTTCTGAGTCTTAAGTGTAGCTCAAATTAAGTTGGTGTCAGGGCTCTCGAGTGATGACTTGCAGCCAATCAGATCTGGTAATTCGTATATAAGGGTTTATTTATTTCGTATCAAATATATGTAAAATATGAAAATTATCGTGTCATAATTTGTGTCGATATGTCAAACACGAAATGTATATTTTATTTTTATTAAATTTATATATGATTTTTTAAAATTTTAAACTATATAATTTTTATTAATTTTTTTATCATTTTATTATCGAGTTATTATATCTTATTTAAAATTTTCAGGCTACATCTAGTCTAATATTTGTGTACTAGCTTATAAAATGTTTGTTCTCGCATAACATCAATTGCTGGAGTGATTAGGCCTCCTAGCTCGATTCTTCATACTTGTTTGGAACACTACCTCTCCTAATGCAGAATCCCTCTGCATCAGCAAGTTGAGGTTTGGCTGCAAGAATATATATTATAGCCAAATTTATAAATGAGAAAAACACCGAGCTTTCTCTTTTACATTCACATGGTTGATTATCAATCAATTCTGTTAGACAGGCCACTTTTTCACCATTCGGAACATATTCTTTCAGTAGTACACAAAGTCAGGGTTTAGGACACCGAACTTAACTACCTTGCCACCTGATAAAGGTTGCAGATGGCCTACAACCTGAGCTTCCACTTAAATGCACATGGCAGGGTTTGAACCGTTTAGTTAGAACTGCTCAATGTTGGAGCTGTAGCCCACAAGTGGGTCTGGTTTCTGGCTGAATGTCTTTTAAAGACCACTGGAAAGTGACCTTCACTAGGCTGTGAGTTAATGGTCTGTTTTCCGTTAAAGATTGTACGGAGATGTTAGTTTAGTCTGTTTGCAAGTCGGACTGAGACAATCCCTTGTGAGCAGCACTCTTGTTGGCTCCTAACACACAACATTTGGATAAAATCCACATGACATTTTTGTGGATCTCATTTCAAGCTTTAATTAATGTTGTCCCCTGGAAAATTGCCTGGGGAGCTTTAGGGTCACAAATCTTAATCCGACGGAATGTATATAGAAAATCCCATACGATTTGATTATTTCCTTTTTAAAAATAAAAAGAAAGAGTAAATGGAAAACAAAGGAAAATCTGCAGCTAGCAAAGGGATCACAATGTTGCTGCTGGTAATGCCATATCCAAATATGCATTAAATGGAGAGAAATCTTCACTGTCCTAATGAAATTTTAATTACAAGGAACTGACGCTCTACCACTGAGCTACAGGTGCATTAAGATTTGATAATCAAAGTCCCAATTTTTATGACTTCCTTCAACCAATAACGTAAGAACTTCAATACGATTTCTTTTCCATATTTTAAAATTAGCTTCAAACTAGGGATGGTAGTGGGTCATTATGGGGTGGGTGTGGCAATTTCTGCGCATTCATTCACGTACACAACGCACGAATAATGGATAACTTGAACCCGTTCCGCATATCCGATTACTGTTTTGCATCTCAACGTCAACATACTTCTTCTCAAGCTTCCGCCTTTTACGCATTCAATTTGGAGGTAATATTAATTTGTTTTTTTAGTATATATATATATATATATTTTAAAAATTTTGTTCTTAGACTCTTCAACAAGTCCTGGCTCAAACCCTAGTTGTAAAATTTCTCAACGTTTGTCTTGTTTTTTCTTTTATGGGGTGTGTTTGGAATGGTAATCACAGACGGAGAACCATTACAGACTAAGATCAACAGACAAGGACAGACTTTAGAACAACATAAACAAAGTCTAGAAAAATTAAGGGGTCGTTTATTATATTTTTATTTTCTATTTTTTGTTTTTATTTTCAATTTTTTTAATTGAAAATAACAGTAGAAAGCATTTTAGTAACATTTTTTGTTTTCAAAAAACGACAACGAAAAGAAACTAAAGTCAGGGTTTTGGGTAAATGGAGGAAAGAGAGAAACAGAACAACCAAAGTTGGTGAGAAAAGGAGACTTCATAGGCCATCGAGAAAACGGGTTTTTATTTTTTATTTTATTTTTTTCGGTGAGCCCTTGCACATCTGATTGCAGCTTGCCATAGTCATCTCCACAACGTGGAAAAACAAGCACGTGTTTCACCTTTTAGCCAAAATTTTTTTTTCTGTTTTTGTTTGGATTTTCATGCAATATTTTTAACTGCTGATATTTAATAAGTTTAAATTTTGAATTTTATTATTTATATTTTTTTTATAAAAAATTCAAAATTAAAGAAAACAAAAAAAAATTAATCCAATCAAATTATAAAATTATAAAATAAACCAAATAAAAAAAAAATCATTGGATAAAAAAGGAGTTCATTGGTAGCCGATGACTCACCTGCGTTCTATTTTTCATTGTAAATACAATCAAAACCAAATAAAATTATAAAAATATAAAATAAACCTAATAAAATTAAAACAATATATTGGATAAAAAAGGAGGTTACTGGTCGCAGAGGACTCACCTGCATTCTATTATCTGTTTAAGATAATCGGATAAAAAACACTTCCCTACCCATATGCATTGTGGTTGGAGAAACTGAGTTACTCATCGAAATTTTCATTCTAACTTCAACCACTGGTATAATGGGATGATTTTTCTTTTTTGGCCAAGAAGGATAATGGGATGTTTATTTCGGTATTGAAAAGCCACACAACTCTACTTTTCCATAATTTAAAGTCACATTGGACTTTTATAATTTATTCATTAACATTTTTTTCAACATAAGAGAGAAGAAGAGATTTCATAGGACTTAAAATTTTACTGTTTATGAGAATGTCTCGCCAGAGATACCCATAGAAAAGTTAAAAAGAAGGTCATATATGTTACCATTTCAATATTCCATATTTCCAAATTTGAAAAAGGCAAGATTTAAGATATAGTAAAAAGAAATTGTAGCACAAAGTGTGATCCTCAATCTTCCTTTTTTCCCTAATGATGTGAAATTAGCAAACAAAAAAGAGCAAACGGAAGCATTTTTCAACATCATGTGGTCGATATGTCATATTATGAATATTTTTATTGCTTATTTATCTTATTTCAGAATCAGATTACAATTGAAAACCACTCAAATTCATTCATATGAAAATGATGCATGATTATAAGTGGCCGCGAAGCCCGGCCCTTGCATGTGCTCCCTAACATGGTAGGGACCCTTGATCAGAAATCAAATCTTTCTATCAGAAAAACTTTAAGCTTTCTTTCCTGTTTAACGCTTAAAGATACACAGTTTAATCATTGTGAAAAAAACTACAAAACCTGATTGTTTAAAAAATTATTCACCCACGTATGCCAATGGTTTCAATGGTCGATTAATGATGACGGAAAATCAAGCTTCTTCTCTTAATTTCTAATATAATTTTCTGATATACGAATCGGCTGCTCGTGCATCTGATATTGTACACTGATAACCAATCCGATTTAGCCAAGTCACATTAATAATATATTTAATCAATAGAAGTTGTTAGTGTTATAATTATCGACAAATGGTTCTTCTAGTGACCATCCATAATTATGGACCGATTCTTATTTGCTACACCAAAAAATGGTTGGTGTGTGGAAAAATATATATACCGATTCATGGTCATTTACCAGATATTGGTGTTTTTGTGCAAAGAAAAAAAGAGTTGACCTAACAAGCTGCACATTGCACTAGAAAATATGAGGTTTTAAGATCAGTTGCTCATTGCTTTCAGGTCGGAAAGCTTTCCCTGCTAGACAGCCAATTGTTTTAACAGAAATGGTATGCTTAAAAATGAAGAGTTGCAGCTTCGATCCAATTGTCCTATAACAAAATGGAAAGACAAACAGGAAACCTAATGGGATTTTTATCTTCTATATTTTTAGCCTTTGAAGAGCATTAAAAATGCTCCACATGTCCAGACCAGACATGTCCTTGTTACTGATTTCATCTGAATTCAATGCCTTGCAATATAATGGAGATGTCCTTAATTCACCATATACAGCACTTTTACAATGTGTGTGAGTTTTAAAATGACTGAGATTGAAGTCTTAAAACAAAATCATTTTAACGTTCCCTCGACTAATTTTGTCAGTCCTTAAAAAAAACCCAAAGTCCCCCTATCAAAGGAAACAAAATATTTCTCGAGGGATTGGCGGGATTTCAGGCGATTTAAGGAGAAAATTCCACAAAACTACACGTAAGGAAAGCATTAGAAGAAGGCAAAAGGCAGAGCAGTTAGTAGGACTATAAGAGAATAAGATAAAAACAAAAGGGGAGGTTGATAAATGCATGTGCAGGTGGGGGCCATGAGGCCTAGCGGTTGGTATTCTAACTGGAACATTGGCATGTGCAGATTGCTCCTTGAATGACCTGCAAATAGGAAAATCTGTTTTCGTGTACTTGGCTTTCTCTCTTAAACGTGAGAATTGCTTGCTTGTCTCTTTTTTCTATGCCAAGTCAACATCGCACCACCCCAAATGTTTTCCTTTATATTTCCTATATAAACCATTTTTCCCATCCCTATGTCACAAGCATCAAGCACTAAACACACCAGCCTTTTAATTACCCTCTCTCCCCCTCTCCCTCACCATTCTCTTCAACTAATATTCACAATGGCAACAGTGGCATTATCTGCAACTTCTCTTCTGATCTTTGTATTCAATTTTTGCCTCGGAGGCGCCTTTGGTGACTATGGGGGAGGATGGCAAGGTGGCCATGCTACATTCTATGGTGGTGGTGATGCATCAGGCACAATGGGTAAGTTTAGGGCTATTTTGCCATTTTAATAGAAGGAGAAAGGGGAAACAAACTTTGAAGTGTGGGCCAATAAAAAGGTTAAAGCGAAGCTATAATTACTTGCTATTACTAGTCCTTTTTTTTTCTTTTTGGTCTGAGATTACAAGTCCTTTTGTGTACTTTCAAAATTGCACTAATTAGTAGCTTTAAATGGTCTGTAACTTTGAAGACAACTTAAATTGAGAGTTGGTCATCTTTTGGTTTCTTATATCCACTGCTGCTATTTTCAGGAGGTGCCTGTGGATATGGCAACTTATATAGCCAAGGCTATGGAACAAACACTGCAGCACTAAGCACTGCCTTGTTCAACAATGGCCTGAGCTGCGGTTCTTGCTATGAAATGAGGTGTGACAATGACCCCAAATGGTGCCTCCCCGGAAGCATTATCGTGACTGCAACCAACTTCTGCCCCCCTAACTTTGCTTTGTCCAATGACAACGGTGGTTGGTGCAATCCTCCTCTCCAACACTTTGACTTGGCGGAGCCTGCCTTCTTACAAATCGCTCAATACCGTGCTGGAATTGTCCCCATTTCATTCAGAAGGTAATATTTAACACCCGTTCGATCAAAACTTAGTTAAAAGTAGTTATATTATGTAGTAAAATATTGATTCAGTAACATATTTATGTGATCAAAACAGAGTCCCCTGTATGAAGAAAGGAGGAATCAGGTTTACAATCAATGGCCACTCTTATTTCAACTTGGTCCTGATCACAAATGTTGGCGGTGCCGGAGACGTCCATGCGGTGTCAATCAAGGGCTCTAAAACAGGATGGCAAGCAATGTCAAGGAACTGGGGCCAAAACTGGCAAAGCAACTCCTACCTCAACGGCCAAAGCCTGTCTTTCCAAGTCACCACAAGCGATGGCAAGACCGTGACCAGCTACAACGTAGTGCCAGGAAATTGGCAGTTCGGACAAACATTTGAGGGTGGCAAGTTTTAGAGTTTCAAGACGACAAGGGTCTTGAATATGGAAGATGTATATGTAATAGCTATTGTATGAGACAGGGGAAGTTAAAAGAGGGAGAGTAGGGTTAGAAGAGGCTCAGTCCAAAGAGGCTGTCTGTTGCTGAGGTGGTTTATTGGCACCCGCTAGGCCTTAATATATTTTAAATTGATTACGGGTTGTGAGCTATAGTATTAAGTAAACAGGGATATTCCATTGTTTTGGCTTTTGTTTAATTCATGGCCATGAATGAATATCAATTAAAGATTTCTTCACTTAATTCCAAAGGTCGACTTTATAGTTTAATATTTTGATAATAGATCCCAAATTGGCGGTTTCTTTTGCAGCATTTCTCAATACAAATTGAAAAAAAAAATTTCCTCAAGCAAAAGGTTTTTAATTAACCCAGAACAACAACAAAACAGGCAAGCTACCTGTTGAAACTTGCAAGAGGCCGGTTTGTCATGTTTGCGCATCGTGACTTTAGTTCAGACGGGATCATCGGCTGAATTGAAGTATATTAATAAGTGAAAGGAAAAAAAAAAAAAAAGATCGCTCATAATGGCGTGTGAACCGGAGAGAGATTAAGTTAAGAATAAGCACCACAAAATGTCCAAATTGTAGTCAAGTCCTTAATTACAAAGACAGAGCCAGTTAAAAATTTAGTAAAAAAAAAATGCTTAAGCAAAGAAAGCTTAATTTGTTCCTAAAGATAAAAATTTAGCTCCCAGCTTTAACGATATCTGTTTGGAACATGAATAATTTGACACCTGACATTCTCAGAAATATGCAAACCTGCATAAAATTGCACCAACTTTATTACTTTGCTAGTTGCTATTGCTAATATACTAAAGTAACACTTGCTTGTCTTTTCATTAATTTGTTTGTTTATTTAAATTTGGTAGTTTTGGATGAATACGCAATCTAGCCTAACCAAGTAAAAAACAAGCAAGAGTTAGTCTTTACCTACCTAACACAAATGAGGAATCCCATGTGCCTGATTTGGGGGGAGGACTGAGATTGGTTACTTAACTTTTGACTTTAGTCTTTACCTGTAACAAACCAAACATCTATCCTAACATAAGTGTTAAAAATATGTCGTACTAATGATTTCTCATGCATTAAAAAAATTAAATTGATTGTAATTCTTTGGCAACTCAGTTGATTAGGATTCAAGAAGTCAACTCTCCTATTGTTTGTCTACAACATTAACTTTTGAGCCCGCAATATTTTACTCATCAAAGTAATTGGAGGTGTTTATGGCCGAGTTGCCCATCAAACTCACGGCTCTGGTCTGATTCGAATTGAAAACATTATTTTTAAAGGGAAATTCGGTCCGACTCCATTTAAGGATGTTATTGTATAAATTAATAACTAATACATATTTATTTAATTTTAAACTTCAAGTACATTTAAAAGCATTTTTAAATATTTTAATAAATAATTAAATGGACAGGTCAAGCTAATTTCGTGCACGATTTAAGTTTTCAAGGTGCCATGGTCTATGGACACATTTAATTGCAAACGATGACTATGTAATTGAAGAAGGTGTGATTTAAAAGAAGCTATAGTGTCACGATTTAGGTCATTTTTAAAGTATCATTCGTTTTTATTCATTTTGGTTCGTTAGACTTCGTAATTTTGTGAAAATAAAATTTATTAGGTGAATACTAGCATATTATCCTAGGTAAAAATTTTTTGTTTTGTCATATTAATTCATTATTTTTTAAAAATAAAAGATTAAAAAATCAAATAAGAGACACATAAATATTTAAATTGATATCTTATTCTCACAAAATATATTTAATAAAAATAAAATTTTAAAAATAAAAAATCATAAAAAGTAAAATAAAAAACTTAATTAATGAAAAAAACTCATAAAAAATGCCACATAGATATCTATTGAGTTTAAAATATTAATTTTTTAAACTAATATATCAAATAATAACTTAATTAATATAATATAGAATTAAATTAATAAAAAAAAATATATTTATATACACCTTGAAATGAATTGAAATAAATTACCCTAAACATGATTTCACCACAATATCATATTTTATAAAAAAATTCGACCTATTCAAAGTCAATCTTGATTTAAAAAAAAATCACCTTCTATCTAGTTGAAATAAATAAAACTCATCAGATAAGATTATTTTAATATTTTTACAATTGACACATTTTATTACAAAATTTATCTAATTAAAAAAATATAAAAAAAAAAAGAAAAAAAGAAATAAAATTCAAATGGGGTATTACATAGACACCTCCATTGACATCTATTTTTAACAAAATTAATTTAATAAAAAAGACATAAAAATAATAAAAATATAAAATATAAAAGGAAAAAGAAAAACAGAGTTTATTGGAATATTATATGGACATCACAATTGAGTTTAAAATACATATTTTTTTTAAATTAAAGTGTTAAATAATAACTTTATTAATTAAAAAATTAAAAAAGAAAAATTAATTAAAAAAAAGAAAAATTATTGAGGTGCCATGTTAACATTCAGATATGGTTTATATATAGAATTAGTTCCTTGCATCTAGAGAATATTTTGTTATTTATATATAAATAGAAAATATTTGTATATTTAATATATATATATATATATGCTAATAAGAATATAATCACATCTTGAATACATTATAATCTTTATAGATTTAGTTTTATTTTAGAAATTATATTTCGCAAGATTGATCAAAATATTATATAGAATAAACATTCTTTTGTTTTTTTTTAAACAGAATACACACTTATAAGTGGTAACTAGAACTTTACATAAATTTTAATTTATTTTAGTTGGATAATTGTAGAATTAAAGTAAAATAGCTATAAACTATAAGCTTTCGTATTTAAGTGGATTGTAAGGAAAAGAAAATAACGTCAGCAACCAAGTCAAGAAGGGATTTAGCAAGCGGGTACCAAACATAATCTTCGTTGGAGGGATTTGGATTTTTCCTAGCCACACAGGTTAACACCATACGCCCTTGGGGTATCATTTCTTCCGAGCGTAAGCTTAGAAAATTTGAAAAGTCTCTTTGAAATTGCTGTGCATAAGCTTTGAAAACATTCGGAGGATTTGATCTTGCAATATATATATATATATTCCCCTTATTGTTCTCTAGCCCTTCTGGGACCTAATCACTTGCTCAAAATTAGAAGATGCAACATGGATTCTTAATTGAAAAAAAAAAAAAGAGATTTCTTTTTTTTTTTTAACTCACAAAATCTCTTACATTTTCTTATATATATATATATATTAATATAGAGTATAAAAATAAAGATAAATGATTAAATAATGAATTTCAAGGAAATATATAATGATATTAAATAAAAAATAATTTCCTTAAATTTGAGCCAAGAATTAGTGAAGTATTTTTTATATTTGTAAACACCCATTTTATATGAAAAATTAAGTATTATCTCAAAATAAATTTTACCCAATTCTTAATGTTAGCCAAATCCATTTGAATGTGCTAAATAGATGTTGAAAATTAATTTTGGATTAAGAATAAAATTTTAATTAATTTCTTTGGAAGCTCAAATCAAATTTTAAGAATAAAATTTTAATTTGAATGTCTTATGCTTCTTGGCCTATCGACAAAAAAGCCTTAGAAAAAACATTTAAATTTGTTTTCAAATCATGCCACTCCCTTTTTTTTTTATGTTATAAGACGTTATCCTTTTTTGAAAAAAAAAAAAAAAAGCCAATCCCATCAAACCCAAAAATATTCAGCCCAGTCCAAGTTTATTTTATTTTTCAGCCTAGATCCTAGAACTGCCACCATTGACAACTACCAATTCCTGAACCGTTACATCATTTCCTAACCCGAACAGCCACCATAATTTCCATCGTGCTTCCCCTTCACCCTCAGAGATTACCAACCCAAGACACGCAAAAGCAAAAAATCAGCACGTCCCCGAACCAGCAAATAAATAACCACCAATTTTCTTTTCAAAAAAATAATCCAACAAAAAAAAAATAGAGATTTAGGCCATTTAGAATTTTTTTGGGGAGATTTTTTGAGCAATCGTGTTTAAGGGATTGAAGGGAGTGTTTTGAAATTTTTATATTTTTTTGAATTTTTTTGGGCTAGCTTGAATCTGAAACAAAGTTCTGGGTTAGGTTGTAAGATTTTTAAAAAAAATTTTTCAACTATCATTTAATTTTTTGACGCCAAAATTTGAAAAAATTTGTCAACTTTTAGATTTGGTTGAATTTTTTAATCGGTTTTACATAGAGAGGGTTTAAGGGAGAGAAAGAGGGAGAAGAGAAATAAAAAAAAAAAATCAGATTAGGCTTATTTATAAATTTGTCGAAACGATGTTGTTTTGAATCAAGAAAATCCGTGTGTTGACCTGTAACTCAAGCCACTTGATAGCCATCCGACCCATTTTCCAAATCAGCTAGACCGTTGAGTTGAGCCAACCACAAGCCGAGCCGAATTGTTTGACCCCAGAATTTACTTGGGGTTGAGCCACGTAAGGAGCTGTTGACTAGTGTTAATTAAGGGTATTTTTTATTATTTTTTCATTTTTTACTTAATTTTTTGTGTATATTTTAATTATTTTTATTCATATTTATGTGACTAATTTTTTTTTGAACCTTAATATGGTATTAGAAATATTTTTAAATTTGTGTGCAAAATAAATTAGTTTTTCTAAATTATTGTGAAAAATATTTAGGAAAAAGTTGAAATATTAATTTTTTTCTAAATACTTTTTAAAAAAATAAAAAAATTTTTGAGAGAAGGCTAAGGAAAAAGTTGAAATATCAAATTCTCTTTAGAATAAATTTTGAAAAATTTAAGAAAAAAATTGAAATATCATTTTTAAAATTTTTTTAAAACAAAATAAAAATGAAAATTTTAGTTTTTTTAAAAATTGTTAAAGAAAATGTTGAAATATCAATTTTTCTAAATTCTATAAGAATAAAATTAAATAAATAAAATAAAGATGAAATAAATATAAAAAATATTTAGAAAAAATTTGGAAATATTGATTTTTCCTAAATTCTTTGAAAAATAAAATAAAATAAAATAAACAAAAAAATGCTAAGGAAAATTTTAAAATATCAATTCTTCATTAAAATAAAAATTTTGAAAATATTTAGGAAAAATATGAAATATTTATTTTTTTTTAAATTGAGGAAAATAAAATTTAACTTTGAATCTTTCAATGATGAAATTAATAGAAAGTTGCAATAGTAATTTTGATTTAAATTCATAGGTGAGGTATTATTTTCTAAATGTTACTAAATATTACAGTACTTAGAAAATTT